CGGGGCGGGGGGGCTGGACCTGCGATGCCGTCCGTCCGCAGGCACTGGCAGGATCTGGGCTACCTGATCCTCTACATCACGGGGCGGCCGGACATGCAGAAGCAGCGGGTGGTGTCCTGGCTGTGCCAGCACAACTTTCCACAGGGCATGATCTTCTTCTCCGACGGGCTGGTGCACGACCCCCTGCGGCAGAAGGCCATCTTCCTCCGCAACCTCGTGCAGGAGGTGAGTGCGGGCCGGAGGCCAGACCCGCCCTCCACCTGCAGGTGCTGGGAGCCTCCACGGCCCCCACCCCCACCCCGAGGTGGGCACTGTCACCCGCGGGGACAGAGGAGGGCGGGGAGGCTCCCTGAGGCTCGGTGACTCCCCCACGATCCCCGAGTCCGCATCTCCTCCTTTACCTCCTGACCCCAAAGCCCGAACTCCGTCTCTGCGCGCGGTTATTCGTTCAGCCGACGCGTGCCCGCCACGCTCCTTCGGGGTCCTGGCGTCGGCGGCACGGGCTGGCACCTGCTCTCCTTCCGGAGCTTTGACCTGTGGCCCCAGCACGGTGTCCCCTGGGAGCTGCTCAGAAATGTCGATTCCCTGCCCCCCACCCCCGGCCCCCACTCACCCCAGACCCGCTGCATCAGAAACTGGGGAAAGGGCCCAGCGGTCTGCATCTTGACAGACCCTCCGGGGGGATTTCAATGATGGTAACATTTTGAGAACCAGTGATCTGTGGCCCAGGGGCTGAGCCCAGCCGGTAGCCCTTCTTCTACGTGACCTTGGCCTGAGAACGGTGTTTATAGTTTTAAATGGTTGGGGGTTGGGGGCGGGGATCAAAAGGAGAATGCTATCTCATGATGCGACAGCGGTACGAAAGTCCGATCTCGCTGCCTGCGAAGGCAGATGCGTTGGGACACGGCCACGCTCCCTGCTGGCCACGCTCCCTGCTGGCACGGTGTGCATGGCTGCTCGGAGCCACAAAGGAAGAGTGTGGTTGCAGCACAGCGCAAAGCCTGAGATACCGATTATCTGGTCTTTCGCAACAACGCCAACCAATCCCTGATCCAGAGGAAGAAAGATGTGTAAATCTTTACCAGTGGGCGATTAGTAAAGGCCTCTTGTCATGCAGAGGAGCTTGGCCTGGGGAGGGCAGAGAAGGCTTCCAGGGGTTGGTAACTCTTGAGCTGAGTCTTGAATCAGGAATAGGAGTTTGCCTGGCAGACACCAACAGAACGTGCAAAGGCACTGAGGTAGAAGAGAGCCTCGGATGTTCTTAGAGCTGCGGGCATGCAGGATGCTGGTGTGCACAGGGTCAGACCCAGGTCGCGTGGGAGCAGAGGCCTGGAGGTCATCGGGGGCCTGAGGGTTGGCAGACGTTGGAAAACCTTGGCCAAGACCGTGAACTCCGCTGAGGGCAGTGGGGAGCCGGGGAGCGGCAGTGACTGATTAGGGCTGCAGAAAGAGCCCTGTGGTGGCTGTGTGGAGACCAGATCGGTGAGACAAGAGAGGCAGGGAGGCCAGGCGAGGCAGAGGCGGACCGGAATCCAGTGGCGGCCACGGGGATGGAGAAAACGGCATCGGGAGCGGGGATTGTCAGGTCATGCTCGGGACTGGGTGGCGGCCCCCCAGCAGGAGGTAGAACTGGGGAAGAATGTTCTGGGGGCAG